GCACTTGACAAAATTCAACATCCATTCATGATAAAAACTCTCAACAAAATGGGTATACAGGGCAAGTACCTCAACATAATATAGGCCATATACGACGAACCCACAGCCAACATCATATTTAACAGCAAGAACCTGAAAGCTTTTCGCCTAAGATTGGGAACAAGACAGGGATGCCCACTCTCCCCACTGTTATTCAACATAGTACTGGAGGTCCTAGCCATGACAATTAGACAAAAGAAAGAAATACAAGGCATCCAAATTGGTAAAGTGACATCCAAACTGTCACTATTTGAAGATGACATGATATTGTACATAAAAAACCCTAAAGACTCCACTCCAAAACTACTAGAACTAATATTGGAATTCAGCAAAGTTGCAGGATACAAAATTAATACACAGAAATCTGTTGCTTTCCTATACACTAATGATGAGCTAACAGAAAGAGAAATCTGGAAAACAATTCCATTCACAATTGTATTAAAAAGAATAAAATACCTAGGAATAAACCTAACCAAGGAAGTGAAAGACCTATACCCTGAAAACTACAAGACACTCTTAAGAGAAATTAAAGAGGACACTAACAAATGGAAACTCATTACATGCTCTTGGCTAGGAAGAATTAATATTGTCAAAATGGCTATCCTGCCTAAAACAATCTACAGATTCAATGCAATCCCTATTAAAATACCAACAGCATTCTTCAACGAAGTGGAAGAAATAATTTTAAAATTCATATGGAACCACAAAAGACCCCGAATAGCCAAAGCAATCCTGACAAGGAAGAATAAAGCAGGGGGCATCTGGCTTCCCAACTTCAAGCTGTACTACAAAGCCACACTAATCAAGACAATTTGGTACTGGCACAAGAACACAGCCACAGACCAGTGGAAAATAATAGAGAGTCCAGATATTAACCCAAACATATAAAGTCAATTAATATATGATAAAGGAGCCATGGACATACAATGGGGAAATGACAGCCTCTTCAACAGCTGGTGCTGGCAAAACTGGACAACTACATGTAAGAGAATGAAACTGGATCACTTTCTAATACCATACACAAAAGTGAATTTGAAATGGATCAAAGACCTGAATGTAAGTCATGACAACATAAAACTCTAAGAAAAAACATAGGCAAAAATCTCTTGGACATAAACATAAGCAACTTCTTCATCAACATATCTCCCCAGGCAAGAGAAACAAAAGCAAAAATGAACAAGTGGGACTGTATCAAGCTCAAAACCTTCTGTACAGCAAAGGACACCACCAAGAGAACAAAAAAGTACCCTACAGTTTGGGAGAATATATTCATAAATGACAGATCCGATAAAGGGTTGACATCCAAAATATATAAAGAGCTCATGCACCTCAACAAAAAGCAAAAAATCCAATTAAAAAATGGGCAGAGGAGCTGAACAGTTCTTTAAAGAAGAAATTCAGATGGCCAGTAGACACATGAAAAGATGCTCCACATCGCTTGTCATCAGAGAAATGCAAATTAAAGCCACAATGAGATATCACCTCACACGAGTAAGGATCACCACCATCCAAAAGACAAACAACAACAAATGTTGGCGAGGTTGTGGAGAAAGGGGAACCCTCCTACACTGCTGGTGGGAATGTAAACTAGTTCAACCATTGTGGAAAGCAGTATGGAGGTTCCTCAAAAAGCTCAAAATAGAGATACTATTTGACCCAGGAATTCCACTTCTAGGAATTTACCCTAAGAATGCAGCAGCCCAGTTTGAAAAAGACAGATGCATCCCTATGTTTATCACAGCACCATTTACAATAGCCAAGAAATGGAAGCAACCTAAGTGTCCATCTGTAGATGAATGGGTAAAGACGATGTGGTACATATACACAATGGAATATTATTCAGCCATAAGAAGAAAACAAATTATACCATTTGCAACAAAATGGATGGAGCTAGAGGGTATTATGCTCAGTGAAATAAGCCAGGTGGAGAAAGACAAGTACCAAATAATTTCACTCATATGTGGAGTATAAGAACAAAGAAAAAACTGAAGGAACAAAACAACAGCAGAATCACAGAACCCAAGAATGGACTAACAGTTACCAAAGGGAAAGGGACTGGGGAGGATGGGTGGGAAGGGAGGGATAAGCAGGGGGAAAAAGAAATGGAGCTTTATGAATAGCATGTATAATGTGGGGAGGGGGGGAGGCATGGGGAGAGCTGTGCAACCCAGAGATGACAAGTAGTGATTCTACAGCATCTTACTATGCTGATGGACAGTGACTGTAATGGGCTTTGTGGGGGGGACTTGGTGATGGGAGGAGTCTAGTAAACATAATGTTCTTCATGTAATTGTAGATTAATTACACCAAAAAAAACCCTATTAAAATGTCACACACTAGAGGAAAGCACACAAATCACAAATGATTTTCATCAGCTTATCATAACTGAATACAGCCGTGTAACCATTTCCTAGGGCCATTCTTTTAAATGTACTCCCATCAAGTTTTTGCCCCACTACTACACTTAAACTGCTCAAAGTCAACCAAGATCTGTAAGTGGCTAAATCCATCAGTCACTTTTCAGTCTTCATCTCCCTTTACCTATTAGCAGCAGTCGGCATAGTTGATCACTGCACTTGGATTCTGAAATACCACACTCTCTGTCCTGGTTTTCCCGCCTTACTTACCATTCCTTTTTTTGGACTTTGTTCTCCCCTACCTCTTAATCTTTCAGTGTCTTTGGCTTAGTCCTGTAACCTCTTTTATCTACACTCACTCCCTTGGTGAGTTTACATAGTCTCATAGCTTCAAATACCATCCATATGCAACTGATGCCCAAATTTATATCTCTGGCCTAAACTTCTCCAATCAACTCCACATTCCTATACCAACTGCTTAACTGACATCTCTGTTTGGACGTCTTTTAATAGACATCTCAAAACTTAACTTGCCCAAAACTGAACTCCTGATCTCCGCCTGGGAACTATACTATTTGGGGGTCTTCCCCATCTCAGCTAATGGCAACTCCACCCTACCAGTTACAGATAAAAACTCTCTCATAATCCATATCCAATTCACCAGGAAACCCCAATGTTTCTACCTTCAAATATATATCCCCAAATGGACTACTTCTCCCAATAGCTACTCGTCCAAACCAAAAGTGTGTCTCATCTCACCTGAACGACTGAAATACCTCGTAACCGATCTCCCTGTTCTATCCCCCTACAGTCTACTTTGAAAATTACAGACAGTGATCCTTGTAATATGTGTCAGGTCATGTGATTCTTCTGCTCAAACCCTGCACCGGTTCCCATTTCATTCAGAGAAAGGCAATTTCCTTAGAAAGGCCTATATGGCCCTGTGTGTTCAGGTCTAAGACTCCCAGTCTTATCACTTACTAGCCTCCCTTTTTGTACTTTTCATTCCAGCCCCACCAGCCCACTTCCTGTTCATCACACAGGCTAGATATGCTCCTGACCTGGTGAGGCCCTCTGCATGTTACTGGGCCCTTTACCTGAAACTCTCAGATCTCCCCACGGCTTGCTTCCTCACCTCCTTCAAACCTTTATCCAGATGTCTCCTTCTCATTAAGGCCTCCCCTGACCATCTTATCTAAAACTGCGATCCACCCTCTCCAACACTCATCTTCCTCCTCTTCCTGTTGTATTATTTTCCATGGCATTTTACTATCTTCCACCTTTTTATCTATTAATTTATTGCATTAAGGGCCTATTGGAGGCAGACAAATGGCCCCTCCAAAGATATATTCACTTTCTAATCCCCAGAATCTGTGAATATTATCTATATGGCAGCAGGTATGACATAAAGTTAAGGATTTGGGGAGAAGGTGCTTATCCTCGACTATCTAGGTGGGCTGTAAATGTCATCACACGTGTCCTTATAAGAGGGTCACAGAGGGAGATTTGATTCACATACACAGAGGAGAAGGTGCTATGGAGACAGAGGCAGAGATTGGAGTGATGCAGCCACAAGCCCCAACGTTGAGGCAGCCTCTAGAAACTGAAAGAAGAAAACAGATTTTGCCCCAGAGGGAGTGCAGCCCTGCCAACACCTTGCTTTCAACACACTTCTGGCCTCTAAAACTGTGAGATAATAATTTTCTGTTTTAAGCCTCAGAGTTTATGGTAATATATTACAGTAGCCCCAGGAAACTAATACAAAGACTAGTCTCACCCAAAAAGATGTAATTTCCACAAAAGTAGAGACGTTTGCTCATTTTTTTCACTATTTCCCTAGCTCCTAAAATAGTGCCTATCATATAGCAGACACTCAATAAATATTTGTTCAATTAAAGAAAGAATGAATGAATAAACACCTCAAATTATAAACAGTCAATATCATGCCATTACTCAGCCAAAACAATTACTTATTTCCATGGCTACATACATTAAGTAATATGATGAAAGCAAAAGAAAAGCCTAGGTAGTTATTCACAAAACTCTCAAAAGGGGATGATAGAATTGAAACTTTTTTGTAAAAGGAAGAATATATTCATGTAGTAATGTAAAAAGAAAAACTAAAATATTTTTAATTTTCTGGTTTTTCAAAAAACATCTTTCCATTTTCATCAATACACTTTCAATAACAAGTTCCACCTTTCCTATAAATAGCTAACTAAAATTTTTAAGTAATGCTAAATGTTAATTTCCATTTGTATGAAAGATTTATATTAGACCACCAATAAAGAGGAAAAATACGGATATTCCTGAATCTGAAACTGAAGCTGATGTTTAAATTTTTTTAATGGAAAAAAACGATCAAGATTTGGCAATTGTAAAGAGTGTTGCATAAATAATAAGAATGAAGACACCTTCTCACTGAATGTTATGCCATTTACTTGGAGACCAAGAAAAACTATTTCAGAGGGAGAATTTGAAACTCAGAAAAAGCAAAATTATTCCCAGCCTTAAGTGACTGATATATAATATATAATGAAATAAATGAAGAAAAAATATTTCCAATGAAAAGGGAACATTTCCTACAAAGGACAATAACTTTACCTGCAGCATGTAGTTGATCTGCCAAGTCATATAACAACTTAAAGTTCTCGCCACTCTTCAAGCCTCGACCTATTTTAAAAAGATGAAAAAAACAAATTAACAAATATAAACTCCTTTCTATAATAATTTTCAACTTTGCAATACTTGAGTGAATCTTCACATTATACAACTGCCATATTAAGCACACCAACTCCTCTATAAAGCCTTTCCTGACTTCTCCCCAATGATACTCCTTAACTGGTTAATTAATTGTATTACTGGGCTTTAAAATCAGTCTTCCCCACTAAAACAAAAACTCTTTATTTATCCATATCCATCTTGGTCACCACTATATCCACAGTATTTAGCAAAACTTCACTGAATGACTGAATGAAGTTATTATTTGAATGGAAATCCTTATATTAGACTTTATTAAAACCAAGAACACTCTGCCTTTACCTATTTATTTCCCCAGCACTTTGCAATGGGCCATAGAACACACACCCAATAAAAATTTTTGAATAAGTAAGTGATTAAACAAGTCACACATATGTCCTATCAATGCCACTTACAATACAAGGCTGTCTATAAGGTTAATTATTTCATTTGATGTTTAGTTTGGTAAGATTAAAAATCATACCAGTCCTTAGTTTTTCAAAAGCAAGATAGCAGGCTATAAAAAGGTTTTCTTTTTTTTTTAAATAAGGAGCATGATACATAAAAAGCAGGTTTTATGCTATCAATAGCTTTGATATTAAATGTGAAGAAACTTTCAGAGTTAATCATAAAGTCTGGAAGTATTTCATACTAGAACAGAATCATACAACGTGGCCCTGAGGTTCTAATCAGTTCTTTCTACAGTTCAGAACCAACCATACGCGAGAATAACATGGAAGTCAATCAATGAAACAAAGATACCAAGATACAAAGCTATGGAGATGAGATTTGTACCATGCTCCCCCTGGTACCAATGTTGCAGATTTGCAACAGAAAGCCCAAACTGTCTGTGAGGCTCATCATTTCATTTTCCTAGTTGATAAAATGGGAATAATACTTACAACATAACCTACTTCTTACATTTTAAAAAAATTTATTTTGGTATCATTAATCTACAACTACATGAGGAACATTATGTTCTTGTTTTTAATTTATTTGGGTGTCATTAATCTACAATTACATGAGAAACATTGTTTTTCTTGTTTTTAATTTATTTTGGTATACTTCTTACATTTAGGGGGGAAAAAATCCATGTTCCTCTAAAATAAATACTAATAAAAGCAAAGCATTTTAAGTTTATATCACATTTTTTTTTTTTTTTACTACTCCACTTACCGCCAGATACTACCACTCTGGCACCAGTTAGCTCTGGTCGATCACTTTTTGTTAATTTCTGATCAAGCCATTCTGATATCCCCACTGTGGAAGTACTTGAAGCTGCATTTGATAAACAAAACAATGACTATGAGTTCAAGTGCTATATTATTAATAACAATGATTATTATTTTTTTTAAACAGAAACAAAGAATTAATTTCAAGGAACCTAAGTTTTAGTTACTATGAATTTTTTGTGTCCCTAATTTCATTCTCCCTGATTTTGGGGAAAACTTAAAGGGACTAGATTCCAGCATTCACCTCATTAGCTCAATAACTTTTGACAAAGCATTTAATTCTGAATCTACCTGTAAAACTAGAATCATTCTCTCCAGAGAGTTCAAATAAAATATTGTATGTTACTACTATTACATTATTCCACTGTAATGAATCTCCCAAGTATTGTAATAGTAAACAGTGAGAACAGAGTAAAAATATCTTCACGTCACTATGACAGGTTAATCTCAATGGACTCTCTCTCTTCCACCTGATCTACCAAAGCAACTAACCTAGTACCAAAATGATATGAAAAAGATACATTATAAAAATGTCCTAGTTTTGTATAAGCTTGGGAACACTGTTTAGATTCAGCTCTCAAATACTCTGCATTAGAAATTTTACCACTGGCTATTTCTTATTCTAATATAATCTGTGAACTGAACAACAAGAAACAACAAATGAAAACTCACCCTTTTCAGAACTGGCACTACCTCCACTTGTTCCTGCAGCTTCAAAAGATGTTCCTCGGACAGAAAACACCTTCACTTTCTCATCACACTTCACTGTACATAAAGCATTTCCTGAAATACACAGTATTTTTAAAAAAAAAACCATGAAAGGTAACAAAACCAGTATTCCCTTGAGATTCAGCATTTACTCCACAAAGACAAGGACTAAATAACTGTGGACTAGTTGTTCTCTATATCTACTAAGTATAGAGAAAAGGACAAGACACTGAAGAAATGTATCAGGGGCTATTTGCAGGGACAACGTTGGATGTCTTTAAAAATAGGGGAAATGCCTAGATAATCCCCCCTTAGCCAGACTTATCAAGAAAAAAAGAGTCTACACACATAAACAGAATCAGAAATGAGAAAGGAAAAATCACTATGGACACCACTGAAACACAAAGAATTATTAGAGTGTTAATGAAAAATTAAATGCTAAGAAATAACGATAATCAAGAAGAAATGGACAACTTTCTAGAAAAATACAACCTTCCAAGACTGACCCAGAAAGAAACAGAAAATCTGAACAGACAAATGACCAGCACTGAAATTGAACTGGTAATCAAAAAAATACTTTAAAACAAAAACCTGGGTCCAGATGGTCTCACTGATGAATTTTATCAAACATTTAGTGAAGACCTAATACCTATCCTCCTTAAAGTTTTCCAAAAAGTGGAAGAGGAGAGAATACGTCCATACTCGTTGTATGAGGCCAGCATCACTCTAATACCAAAACCAGGCATAGACACCCCCAAAAAAACAAAGTTACAGACCAATATTCCTGATGAACATAGATGCAAAAATACTCAACAAAATATTAGCAAACCAAATTCAAAAAGATTATCATGAGCAAGGGGGATTTATTCCAGGGATGCAAGGATGGTACAATATTTGAAAATCCATCAACATCATCCACCACATCAATAAAAAGAACGACAAAAACCACATGATCATCTCCATAGATGTTGAAAAAGCATTTGACAAAATTCAACATCCATTCATAATAGAAACTCAACAAAATGGGTATAGAGGGCAAGTACCTCAACATAATAAAGGCCACATATGACAAACCCACAGCCAACACCACACTTAACAGCAAGAACCAGAAAGCCTTTCCTTTAAAATCGTGAACAATACGAGGATGCCCACTCTCCCCACTTTTACTCAACACAGTACTGGAGATCCTAGCTATGGCAGTTAGACAACACAAGAAATAAAAGGCAACCAGACTGGCAAGGAAGTAGTTAAACTGTCCCTGTTTGTATATGACATGATACTGCACATAAAAAACCCTAAAGAATCTACCCCAAAACTACTAGAATAACTGAATTCAGCAAAGTTACAGGATACAAAAATTAATACACAGAAATCTGTTGCATTCCTATACACTAATGATGAGCTAGCTGAAAGAGAAATCAGGAAAACAATTCCATTTACATTGCATCAGAAAGAATACAATACTAAGAAATAAATATAACCAAGGAGGTAAAAGACCTCTACCCTAAAAACTATAATACACTCATGAGAGAAATTAAAGAAGACAACAAAAAATGCAAATTCATCCCATCCTTATGGATAGGAAGAATTAATATTGTCAAAAAGGCCATCCTGCCTAAAGCAACCTACAGATTCAATGCAATCCCTATTAAAACACCAACAGCATTCTTCAATGAACTAGAACAAATCATTCTAAAATTCATATGGAACCACAGAAGACCCCAAATAGCCAAAGCAACCCTTAGAAGGATGAATAAAGCAGGGGGGATTATGCTTCCCAACTTTGAGCTCTACTACAAAGCCACAGTAATCAAGACAACTTGGTACTGGCACAAGAACAGACCCATAGATCAAAGGAACAAAACAGAGAGCCCATATATAAACCCAAGCATATACAGTCAATTAATATATGATAAAGGAGCTGTGGACATACAATGGGGAAATGGCAGCCTCTTCAACAACTGGTGTTGGCAAAACTGGACAACTACATGCAAGAGAATGACACTGAATCACTGTCTAACCCCATACACAAAAGTAAACTCGAAATGGATCAAAGACCTGAATGTAAATCATGAAATCATAAAACTCTAAGAAGAAAACACAGGCAAAAAAATCTCTTGACTATAAACATGAGCAACTTTTTTCTGAACACATCTCCTTGGGCAAGGGAAACAAAAGGAGAAATGAACAAACGGGACTACATCAAACTAAAAAGCTTCTGTAAGGCAAAGGACAGCATCAGTAGAACAAAAAGCACCCTACAGTATGGGAGAATATATTCATAAATGACATATCTGAAAAGGGGTTAACATCCAAAATACATAAAAAACTCACATGCCTCAACACCCAAAAAGCAAATAACCCAATCAAAAAGTGGGTGGAGCATTCAAAAGACAAGCAACAACAAATGCTGGTGAGGATGTGGAGATAGGGGAACCCTACTACACTGTTGGTGGGAATGTAAACTAGTTCAGCCATTGTGGAAAGCAGTATGGAGGTTCCTCAAATAACTCAAAATAGAAATACCATTTGACCCAGGAATTCCACTCCTAAGAATTTACCCTAAGAATGCAACAGCCCAGTTTGAAAAAGACATATGCACCCCTATGTTTATCACAGCACTATTACAATAGCCAAGAAATGGAAGCAACCTAAGTGTCCTTCAGTAGACGAATAGATAAGGAAGATGTGGTACATATACACAATGGAATATTACTCAGTCATAAGAAGAAAATAAATCCTACCATTTGCAACAACATGGATGGAGCTAGAGGGTATTATGCTCAGTGAAAAAGGCAGGTGGAGAAAGACAAGTACCAAATGATTTCACTCATCTATGGAGTGTAACAACAAAACAAAACTGAAAGAGGAAAACAGCAGCAGACTCACAGAACCCAATAATGGACTAACAGTTACCAAAGGGAAAAGGGACTGGGGAGGATGGGTGGGAAGGGAGGGAGAAGGGGATTATGATTAAGGAGTATTATGATTAGCACACATAATATGGGGGGACACGGAGAAGGCAGTATATCACAAAGAAGACAAGTAGTGACTCTAGCATCTTACTATGCTGATGGATAGTGAACGCAATGGGGTGGGGGGGGGGACTTGATAATATGGGTGAATGTAGTAACCACAATGTTGCTCATGTGAAACCTGAGCATAAGATTGCATATCAATGATATCTTAATAATAAAAAAAAAGGTGGGCAGAGGATATGAACAGACACTTCTCCAAAGAAATTTAGATGGCCAACATGCATATGAAAGGATGCTCCATATTGCTAATTACCAGGGAAATGCAAATTAAAACCACAGGGAAATGCAAACTAAAACCACAATGAGATACCACCTCACACCAATTAGGATAGCCAAAATCCAAAAGACAAAGAACAACAAATGCTGGTGAGGATGTGGAGAAAGGGATACCCTTCTACACTGTTGGTGGGAATGTAAATTAGTTTAACTGTTGTGGAAAGCAATACTGAGGTTCCTCAAAAACTAAAACCCAGGAATTCCACTCCTAGGAATTTACCCAAACAAAACAAGATCCCAGATTCAAAAAGACATATGCACCTCTATATTTATTGCAGCACTATTTACAATAGCCAAAATATGGAAGCAACCTAAGTGTCCATCAGTAGATGAATGGACAAAGAAGATGTGGTACATATACACAGTGGAATATTATTCAGCCATAAGAAGAAAACAAATCCTACCATTTGCAACAACATGGATGGAGCTAGAGGGTATTATGCTCAGTGAAATCAGCCAGGTGGAGAAAGACAAGTACCAAATGATTTCAGTCATCTGTGGAGTGTAACAACAAAGCAAAACAGCACAAAACAGCAGCAGACTCACAGACTTCAAGAAGGGACTAGCAGTTACCAAAGGGGGGAGGTGGGGGAGGGTGGATAGGTAGGGAGGGAGGGAGAAGGGGATTGAGGGGCATTATGATTGGAACATGTGGTGTGTGGTGGTCATGGGAAAGGCAGTGTAGCACAGAGAAGACAAGTAGTAACTCTGTGGTATCTTACTATACTGATGGACAGTGACTGCTGTAGGGTGTTGGAGGGGACTTGATAATATGAGTGAATGTAGTAACCACAATGTTGCTCATGTGAAACCTTCATAAGATTGCATATCAATGATACCTTAATAAATTTTAAAAGAAAAGCAGACAGGAACCAGGAAAAAAAATAGGGTAAGTGCTGACCTGCCTGGATGTAAGAAACGGAAACAGCAGCCACACTAAGGTACTCACTTCCTAAAAGGAACATAAACAAAAGCTTCCTTCTCTAAAAACAACACATAATCAGTAATTCAACAATGTGAGTAGCAACAATTTTGTAAGAACTGAGCCACCATGCATTCTGAAGGAGGGAAAATAAGTGAAAACATGACAGGGCATTAACAACAAGTATACTGCACCAAGACTTTAAAAGGATTGGAGACATTTCTTATGGATTAGCAATCACATTAAGAGTGACCTAAACTTGACCAAATATTTCCCCTTAACACTATCAAAGATGAAAGATCTGATTTGAGATTTGGCCATTTATATTGAAACATACAACTTCAATCAGAAAGAACAAAGAGTTCATTTTCTCCAGCCCCCTAGAGACCAGCAGATCAATCAATGAAAGCGATAGTAAAATGGATTTCCTAATGCAGAGGAAAACTGAGTACAAGCAGCAAAGACTGAGAATAATATTTTTTTTTTAAATAGAAAAGTTTTTTTCTTTTCCAGATGCCACATACAAAATATATTGAATGTTAATCTAATTTTAATTGATCACTGGAAAAATCTCCTCCATAAACCTGATGACCAGGCAAGAAAGAAGTGTGCTGTGCATCTATCAGAATGTCAGGTCACGTCATGGGCTAGCAGCAAGTCTAACACTGAGATTTTTCTCAGAAACCTCTAAGATGGTCCATTTAAAATGTATATGACTTGAATATCTGATCTTTAATTTCTGCTTCTAAAGTTACAAAAATTTAGCATGTTGATTAGTTATTTTCCTTGGGTACTCACCTGCATAAATAGTTCTCACAAATGTGTCCGGTGACTTGATTGCAATGATATCAGAGATTGGGGCAACATCAAGTTTGGCTGCAATTCTGGGCAAAAGGTTCTAAAGGTAAAATAAGCAGTGAGTTACACACATACAGGCTGATAAATGACTATAAAGGATCAGCAACAATATTCTTTAAAGGCATATTCTGTAAAATTTTAATACAAATATTTTATATTTCACATGCATTTTTAGACATACTGTAACTGGAAACACAGCTTTTTGGATACTCTTTGGGATCAAGTAGGAGTCTATGTTACCCTAACTAAATTAAGAGTTTTATGAGCTTTAATGAGGTGGTAATAAACCACCTTAATTCAATATGTTAAATTACAAGATACTAGCTCAAATGAACATGACTTACAAAATGTGGCCATTATGAATTGCTGAATTTAGATAAGATAGAAAAATATTTAGAATAGTAAAGTTCTCAAATACTAAAAAAGATTACATGTTTTTATATTTATATATATAAAAAAATTCAAAGCAGACATTTTTACCTTTTAAAAACTGATAATGCATTAAAAAAGATCAAACTGAGGGAGAAAAAAGATGGCAGCATGAGAAGTGTGGCAGAAATCTCCTCCCAAAACCACATAGATTTTGAAAATACAGCAAGTACAACTATTCCTAAAAGAGTGACCAGAAGATAGAGTACACCAGCCTGTCTATATCTGGGAGAAGTCAACATCTCACAGAAAAGAGGAACGTGAAAAACCATGACCGGGTGGGAACCGAGCACTCCCCCGCGGGAGGAAGAGAATCCGAGCAGAGAGGGGGTGGAAGAACAGGACTGCTAAACACCAGCCCTAGAAATCGACCCCGGGAGCACAGACCCACATTGCATGGTAGGTTTCAGAGGGGCTGAAAACCAAAGTCAGAGACTAAGACTGCAGACAGGTTTCTACAATGTGCTGCCCTGAAACAAAAGAAAAGCAGGCTCTTTGAAAGACTTCCCAAGAGTCAGAAGGCTGCCTAAAGGGGCAAAGGTTTAGGAGAAGGAACAGGTGGACAAAATTGGCCCAGCACACTCAGCTCAGCAGATCGGGAACTTTCAGGAGCTTCAGGCGCTCCATCCCCCTGGTTGGCAACACACCACCCAGGTCCCCCACTGCGATAAGCAGCTTACCGCTCCTTCCTCCCCACCGGTATCTGTGCACAAACCTGCTGTCCACGCCATTGCTGCAGACGAGCCGGTAGGCAGCCCTGCCTACAACTACTACATAGCTTAACACAGAGGCTTCTCCCCGAGGGCAGCTAACTAGCCCAGACCCTGGAGACAGGCACGGTGACCAGGAAGCACGAAAGGGCTTTGCCCTTCTGCAAACTACCACACCACTTGCCTGTGACCTGCGCTCCATCGCCCCGGGCCATTCCAAGGGCCGCCCTGCTAACGGCAGCTTAGGGAATCAACCCAGAGTATGCTCCCTATGCGTGCTTAAGCGGCACAGACAGCCGAGACAGTCATTGCGACCGGGAAGGAGGAAGGGAGTTGGTCCTCTGGGCTGACACTGGCGCCACTCGCTTGCGACTACTCCCATCACTCCAGGACTATGAAAAGGCAGAAGAACATTGTTCAATCCAAAATTCCTCAAACACCAGAAAGAGGGCTCAGTGAAACTGAATCACCAATCTTCCTGAAAAGGAATTCAAAATAAAAGTCATAAGCATGCTAATGGAGTAACAGAAAAATATTCAAGAGCTAAGGGACAAATTCAGAAAGGAGATAACTGAAATGAAACGAACAATGGAGGCATTTAAAACCAGATTAGATGAGGTAGAGGAGACGGTAAATGGAACAGAAATTTGAGAACAGGAATACAGAGAAATTGAGGCACAGAGGGATACAAGGATCTCAAGGAATGAAAGAATATTAAGAGAACTGTGTGACCAATCCAAACACAACAATATTCGCATTACAGAGGTACCAGAAGAAGAAGAGAGAGAAAAAGGGATCGGAAGTGTCTTTGAAGAAATGCTGAAACTGATCCAATCTGGGTAAGGAAACAGTCACAGGCCATGGAAGCCCAGAGATCTGCCAACACAAGGGACCCAAGGAGGACAACACCAAGACATATAATAATTAAAATAGCAAAGATCAAGGACAAGGACAGAGTATTAAAGGCAGCCAGAGAGGAAAAAGATCACCTACAAAGGAAAACCCATCAGGCTATCATCTGACTTCTCAGCAGAAACCTTACAAACCAGAAGGGAATTGCATGATATACTTAATGCAATGAAATAGAAGGCCCTAGAACGAAGATTATTCTACCCGGCAAGATTATCATTTAAATTTGAAGGATCATTTAAATTAAACAATTTCCAGATAGGCAAAAGTTGAGGGAATTTACCTCCCAGAAATCATCTCTACAGGGTATTTTAAAGGGACTGCTCTAGATGGAAGTACACCTAAGAATAAATAGCTGTCACTAGAGAAAATAAAACCACAGCAAATGAAGTAGACCAATTAAATATTAACCAAATGCTAAATTAAATCAGCTATACACAAAAGCAGTTAAGGGATACACAAAGAGTACAGAATATGACACCTAACATATAAAGAGGAGGAAAAAAAACAAGGGGGGGAACATAAAAGAAACTTCAGATTGTGTTTACAATAGCCCAATAAGTGAGTTAAGGTATACTGCTAGATAGTAAAGAAGCTTCCCATGAACCTTTGGTAACCACGAATCCAAACCCAGCAATGGCAATAAATACAAATCTATCAATAATCACCCAAAATGTAAATGGACTGAAAATACCAATCAAAACACATAGTCACTGAATGGATAAAAAAGCAAGACCCATCTATATGCTTCCTACAAGAGACTCACTTCAAATCCAAAGACATACACAGACTAAAAGTGAAGTGATGGAGAAAGATATTTCATGCAAACAACAGGGAGAAAAAAGCAGCAGTTGCAATACATGTACCATATAAAACAGACTTCAAAACAAAGAAAGTAAGAAGAGATAAAGGACATTCTTTATGTTAAAGGGGACAGGTCAACAAGAAGATATAATCATTATAAATATCTGTGCACCCAACATAGGAGCACCCAAATATGTACAACAAATACTAACAGAATTAAAGGGAGAAATAGAATGCAATGCATTCATTTCAGGAGACTTCAACACATGACTTACTCCAAAGTACAGGTCAAACCCACAAAAAATAAGTAAGGACACAGAGGAATTGAACAACACATTAGAACAGATGGACCTAATAGACATCTACAGAACACAGTACCCAAAAGCAGCAGGATACACATTATTCTCAACTGCACATGGAACATTTTCCAGAATAGATCACATACTAGGCCACAAAAAGAGCTTCAGCAAATTCAAAAAGATTGAAATTCTACCAACCAACTTCTTAGATCACAAAGGTATAAACCTAGAATTGTACAAAGAAAACAAAAAGGCTCACAAACACACAGAGACTTAACAACAAGCTCCTAAATAATCAATGGATCAACGACCAAATTAAAACAGAGTTCAAGCAATATATGGAGACAAATGAAAATAGCTCAACACCCCAACTTCTGTGGGACACAGAGAAAGCAGTTCTAAGAGGAAACAATATAGCAATTCAGGCCTATCTGCAGAAGGAAGAACAATCCCAAATGAAATGCCTAAATTCACAATTACTAAACTGGAAAAAGAAGAAGAAATGAGGCCCAAAGTCAGTAGAAGGAGAGACATAATGAAGATCAAAGAAGAAATAAATAAAATCAAGAAGAATAAAATAATAGAAAGATTTAATGAAACCAAGAAGTGGTTCTTTGAGAAAATGAACAAAATAGATAAACCCCTAGCCAGACTTAGCAAGAAAAAAAGAGTCTACAGAAATAAACAGAATCAGAAATGAGAAGGGAAAAATCACTACCAACAACACAGAAATACAAAGAATTATGAGAGAATACTATGAAAAATTACATGCTGACAAAATGGGTAACCTAGAAGAAATGGACAACTTTCTAGAAAAATAAAACCTTCCAAGGCTGACTCAAGAAGAAACAGAAAATCTGAAAAAAACAAATAACAGCAATAAAATTGAACCAGTAATCAAAAAACTACCCAAGAACAAAAACCCTGGACCAGATGGCTTCACAGCTGAATTTTATCAGACATCTAGAGAAGACATAATACCCATTCTCCTTAAAGTTTTCCAAAAAATAGAAGAGGAAGGAATACTCCCAAACTCATTCTATGAAGCCAGCATCACTCTAATACCAAAACCAGGCAGACATCACAAAAAAAGAAATTTACAGACCAATATCCCAGATGAACATAGATGCAAAATTAATTAACAAAATATTAGCAAACCACATTCAAAAATAAGAGGATCATATACCATGATCAAGTGGGATTCATCTCAGGGATGCAAGGATGGTACAATATTCGAAATTTCATCAACATCATCCACCACATCAACAAAAAGGACAGAAACCACATGATCATCTCCATAGATGTTGAAAAAGCATTTGACAAAATTCAACATCCATTCATGATAAAAACTCTCAACAAAATGGGTATACAGGGCAAGTACCTACATAATATAGGCCATATACGACAAACCCACAGCCAGCATCATACTTAAAAGTGAGAAACTGAAAGCTTTTCTTCTAAGATTGGGAACAAGACAGGGATGCCCACTCTCCCCACTGTTATTCAATATAGTACTAGAGGTCCTAGCCACGACAATCAGATAAAAGAAAGAAATACAAGGAATCCAGATTGGTAAGGAAGAAGTCAAACTGTCACTATTTGCAGATGACATGATATTGTACGTAAAAAACCCTAAAGACTCCACTCCAAAAATACTAGAACTAATATCTGAATTCAGCAAAGTTGCAGGAAACAGAATGAATACACAGAAATCTGTTGCTTTCCTATACACTAATGATGAGCTAACAGAAAGAGAAATCTGGAAAACAATTCCATTCACAATTGCATCAGAAAGAATAAAATACCTAGGAATAAACCTAACCAAGGAAGTGAAAGACCTATACCCTGAAAACCATAAGACACACCTAAGAGAAACTAAAGAGGACATTAACAAATGGAAACTCATCCCATGCTCTTGGCTAGGAAGAATTAATATTGTCAAAATGGCCATCCTGCCTAAAGCAATCTACAGATTCAATGCAATCCCTATCAAAATGCCAACAGCATTCTTCAACAAACTGGATCAAATAGTTCTAAAATTCATATGGAACCACAAAAGACCCTGAACAGTGACAGCAATCCTGAGAAGGAAGAATAAAGCAGGGGGATGTCCCTTCCCAACTTTAAGCTCTACTATATAGCCACAGTAATCAAGACAAATTGTATTGGCACAAGAAGAGATCCACAGACCAGTGGAACAGAACAGAGTCCAGATATTAACCCAAACATATATGGTGAATTAATATCGATAAAGGACCCATGGATATACAATGGGGAAATGAGAGCATCTTCAACAGCTGGTGTTGGCAAAACTGGACAGCTACATGTAAGAGAATGAAACTGGATCACTGTCTAAGCCCATACACAAAAGTAAATTCGAAATGGATCAAAGACTGAATGTAAGTCATGAAACCATAAAACTCTTAGAAAAAAACAGTTCCCTTTGGTAACTGTTAGTCCATTCTTGGGTTCTGTGATTCTGCTGCTGTTTTGTTCCTTCAGTTTTCCTTTGTTCTTATACTCCACATATGAGTGAAATCATTTGGTACTTGTCATTCTCCGCCTGGTTTATTTCACTGAGCATAATACCCTCTAGCTCCATCCATGTTGCAAAATCCAAAGGCAAAATCTCCATCCAAAGGCAAAAATCTCATGGACAAAAACATGAGTGACTTTTTCATGAACATATCTCCCTGGGCAAGGGAAACAAAAGCAAAAATGAACATGTGGGACTATATCAAGCTAAAAAGCTTCTGTACAGCAAAGGACACCATCAACAGAACAGAAAGGTATCCTACAGTATGGGAGAATATATTCATAAGTGACAGATTCAATAAAGGGTTGACATCCAAAATATATAAAGAGCTCACACACCTCAACAAACAAAAAGCAAATAATCCAATTAAAAAATGGGCAAAGGAGCTAAATAGACAGTTCTCTAAAGAAGAAATTCAGATGGCCAACAGGCAAATGAAAAGATGCTCCACATCGCTAATCATCAGAGAAATGCAAATTAAAACCACAATGAGATATCACCTCACACCAGTAAGGATCGCCACCATCCAAAAGACAAACAGCAACAAATGTTGGTGAGGTTGTGGAGAAAGGGGAACCCTCCTACACTGCTGGTGGGAATGTAAATTAGTTCAACCATTGTGGAAAGCAGAATGGAGGTTCCTCAAAAAGCTCAAAATAGAAATACCAATTGACCCAGGAATTCCACTTTCAGGAATTTACCCTAAGAATGCAGCACTCCAGTTTGAAAAAGACAGATGTATCCCTATGTTTATCGCTGCACTATTTACAATAGCCAAGATATGGAAACAACCTAAGTGTCCATCAGTAGATGAATGGATAAAGAAGATGTGGCACATATACACAATGGAATATTACTCAGCCACAAGAAGAAAACAGATCCTACCATTCGCAACAACATGGATGGAGCTAGAGGGTATTATGCTCAGTGAAATAAACCAGGCGGAGAATGACAAGTACCAAATGATTTCACTCATATGTGGAGTATAAGAACAAAGGAAAACTGAAGGAACAAAACAGCAGCAGAATCACAGAACCCAAGAATGGACTAACAGTTACCAAAGGGAAAGGGACTGGGGAGGATGGGAGGGAAGGGAGGGATAAGGGCAGGGGAAAAAGAAAGGGGGCATTACGATTAGCATGTATAGTGTGGGGGGGCACAGGGAGGGCTGTGCAACACAGAGAAGACAAGTAGTGATTTTATAGCATCTTACTACGCGGATGGACAGTGACTGTGAAGGGGTATGTGGGGGGGACTTGGTGAAGGGGGAGCCTAGTAAACATAATGTTCTTCATGTAATTGTAGATTAATGATACCAAAATAAAAATAACAAAAAAAATTAAAAAGTTAAGGCACAGGCAAAAAAAGTAGCCTAGTTTTCTCCATGACAAAATTTGAAAATCTGTAATTGGCAATCTAAAAATTTTTTATAAAATCTTGAAAGAATAGCATTATCTCTAAGACAAAATTTGAAAACCTGGAAATGGTGTTTGAACAGAAATTAAAATCTTGAAAGATAAATTTTAGCAGAACTACCACATTAATTCAGTAAGTCAGGATTACCCATCTAAACAAAACATGTTGTAGATTTTCAGCATGGCACAATCAACCCTAACCCTTCGAAGTACGGACATCAGGTTACACATTCTTAGTCTTCTCACCTTTCCAAAGGCAGATGCTCCGGCACAGATATGTGTGTAACTGAACTGCTTTTGAGTTGCCAAAATCAATGGTGTCAGTTCCTCTGAGAATTAAAGACATTTGATAAACATACTTCATAGTATTTCATATTTATATATTCAAACATAATTTAGACATTGGATTTTTCCCACTGGAAGTCCTCACCTGCAAGGAGGCCTTTGTACGCATCATGCTGAGCCACCAGAACTTTTGCTACACCTGCTACTTTGCAGATATCTTGTGCCACCTATGGTTTAAAAGAGTTTTTAATTATCTAACACAAAGATACAAACAGAGCCACTACTACAAATATCAACAAGGCATAAAACCGTGATGGTCAGCCGTAAAAACTGCTCTTATTAGTAAAAAGGGCTATTTAAGGATGAAAAATATTCATTAATGAAGAAGATCTTCCACCAATTGATCTTATTACCAACTGACCTTAAACAAAAATTCCTGCCTGAAAAAGTGCTAATTGATAAACTAAAATCCACACAGCTCCCTATTCAAATTTAGGTGTAAACTGCTCTTTACCTTTAGCTCAATGCAAGTGTAAGTTCATCAGTTTAGAAATGGTGAAAATGAGGCAATAATGTGCAAATGCTTAGGTGTGTTCTGTCTCACATTAACATCGCCAATAAATACACTTCAGACTTAGGATTCCCTAGAGGTTAAGAACAACAACCAACCACACTGGTTTATGGGTACTGCATTTTTTATCTGGCAATAATAATTTCTGCTGTTATATAATTAGTGAATCTGAGCAATAGAGAAAATCTGAGTATCAATCCATTGTCAACCACTAAATTCCTGCCCATCTATGTATATGTATCTATGATGAAGCAAAATACTTTCTATTTAATTCCTAATTTTTCCTGTTTGGAATCAGGATAAGGTTCTGGGAAAGCTTTTGACCACTCAGATTTCCTGTACACAGAAGGTAATTAGAATTCTCCTCTTTAAATCTCTTCAATTACAGCATGGCTGATTTCTGCTTTAGCAGATACATGGCATCATATCAGGATCTTCTGTCTTCTTGTTTACATCCCTGCTGATTCACTGATGAGGAGGCATAAAAGGCTGTGCCTCTGGCCCCCTCAACTGGGATGGCAACATTGCAACAATATTCACTGAAGAAAGGATACAGTGCAAAAGTGCCTCTGCTGAACCAAGTATTAACTGGCAGACTATCTTATACTATCAAAACCATCTTTTTAATTTTGTGCAATAACTTCTGGCACTACAGAGAAAAATCACTTGCTGCTTACGATAAACAGCTACAGAAAACAGTATAAAATTGTAATTGCCTACACTATTAATGAGCCTCTTTCTACAGATACGGGTTGTTTTTCTTGAAGATTGGCAAGTGACATAATAGGATTATAACTGAAAGAAGATTTCTGCTTTGATTTTTCTCAAAATAGTGTAAATAAAATAGCATTTCAATATTTTTAAAGTAATACTAGAATAATTATTTAAAATCACAGCAAAAACACAATCATACCCTGAGCTTATAAAAATCAGGATGACCAAAAGAGATAGCTTAGCTATATTATCATATGTTATAGTTAATATCAACTATGTAAGATTCAGTAGTTGCTAGTAGGATTAAGTAAAGAAGTCCACATAAATTAACCCCAAATCTGCTAGAATTCCTTTAAGAAACCAATTTTACGTAAGAAATTAGACAGAAGTGACACTAGCATCGAGAAACTACACTATGTCACATGTTCTCCATCAATGCCATTTAATGAAAAACAAAATTCTCTAAAAGAAACATGTTCTCTCCAGATTTCTTCCTCTAAGGTCCAAGTCCTCAGCAACATACTCAGCTACTTTATGATGTGAGAGGGAATTGGTGACTCCAGCTAGAAAGGCTTATTTGAAGCATAATTTCAACTACCCTGCAGCCCAGTGGTACAGACCCTCCAGACCAAACTACAGTAGTTTTCCAGGAGGGTTAGTTTACAAAGCGCTCATCATTTTATTTCAACAACAAAAACAAAGAATACCTTTTAATACCAGCTATAGTTTGAAAAGCATAGTACTTATATTTGAATTCCTATAGTAATTAAAAATTAACACTTATATTTTATCCAGATTTGCCACTTTCAGGAATTAAAAGCAATTAGCAAGTGTATTCATCAACACAGAAGAGATCAGTTATTAACCTCTAAGAGGACTCAAATATTATCATTCTACTTGGTACCTGATGGCACATGATGGTGCCAGTGAAACTAAATCAAGTTTCAAAAGATAAAATGCTTTTAGTGAGCAAACCTTTTAGGTCTTTTTTCACACACAGTAATAGTTGTGACACTGGCCATTTAATGAGGATTAGAAACCAGTTTGGGTTACAGTTCTCAGCATAATTTTCTGTCGCCATCTTTCCCTGTCTCTTGATGGAGATTATATTTGCTATGTTGACCTTAAAAATTTCTCACCTTGTCACATCTGGTTCCAGCTACTAAGCAGGATACTTCACCTCCAACACGTTTGGCTGCAGTGATGGCATTTAAAGTAATGGGGGCTAGGGTATCATTTGCATGTTCAGCTATTACCAGAGTACTCTGAAATCGTAGCAATGAGGCCTAACAAGAGGAAAAAAATGGAAAAGAATGTTGTAATACAAATAGACTTTTTTACTCTATTGTTAAGCATGTATGTTTTAAAGAAAACTGTACACAATATTCAGTTCTTTAAATATATTTATAAAATACATTGACCCTTGAAAAATATAAGTTTGAATTGTGTGGGTCCATGTACAGGCAGACTTTTTTCAATAGATATATTGAAAATTTGTGACAATTTGAAAAAATATTTTCTTTTCACTATCTAGACTATTTTATTATAAGAATATAGTAAATAATAAATATGTAAAATATGTGTTGATTGGCTCTTTATGTTATCAGTAAGGGTTCCAGTCTACAGCAGACTATTAGTAGCTAAGTTATTTGGGAATCAAAAGTTTTACTGGATTTTTGACTGTGTGTGGGGTTTGGTGCCCCTAAACCCAGCACTGTTCAAAGGTCAACTGTACTGGCTCAATGGCAAAAATTGGGCTTTTGTGTCTACCACTCTATTATGAATATCCTTGCATAATGAACACAGAAAATGCAAATTAATGTCCTACTGTTAGAAAAAATTTTCAATTATTTCAAAACAACTTTCCCACAAATCCATGTTCAATGAGAAACCACTAAATATATCTAAATTTAAAATCCTTAGAACACATTTAACTACTTTGTAATTAGGACCCAATGGCATAGCTTATGATTTAAATCACATTTCACAAGAATCGACAGTAACAAACTATTTATTACCAATAAGAATATATCAGCGACTATACTTTTATGTTTCACACATCATTTACCATAAAAATTGCGAGATTTTCATCACCATTTGAAGAAGAAATCCAAGATTTGGTGGTAGAAGGCCTATATATGCTGTAAATTACAGTTCTATCATAAGATAAATTAGGTAGTTCTCCTAAGGAATTGTCAAGCTTTTTAGAACTTCCAGGAGGATACTGTATACTCTTTTTGAAAGACTGTTCAAAATTAGATAAGACTAAACAGCAATGGAAGAATTTATGCAAGAACCTGCTCATTCCATTTAACCTGATCCATCTTTACTAAGCACTATATACATCATAAAAGCATACTATATTACTTAATCAATTGACTCCTTTATAGTTCTTAATACTAATCTTTCTTCTAACTCAATGTTCTATCTTCTATTTCTCAGATACCACTTAAAGAGAAGTTGCAGCATCTAAACATGGTTGTGTGGCTTAATTCAACAATAATAGCTGTGCATAGCATAGTGCAGAAGAAATTGTGACTTTTAAAATGTTATTTCTCAGTCTAAAGCCCAGTTTCTTCATCTGCAAATGAGGGACACAAATTAAATCAGGTTTCAAACTACACACTCCACAGAAGGCTAAGGGTTCCAGGGAAACACCTCAGGACCACCACAAATGATAAAGTGGGAACCAGGCAGACAGAGCTGACAAAATGGCCCCTAGCTTTGTTTTAACCAAATTAAACAAACTAACAGTTACAGAGCCCTAATACTAAGCATGCGCGCGCACGCGTGTGTGTGTGTGTGTGTGTGTGTGTATACAATATTAGTACCGTGACTTTACAGATGAGGGCACTGGAGCTTGGCAGCTGCACAGGCAGGAAGCAGAGCCAGGTAAAAGTTCAGGTAGTAGGACTTCAGAACTTGGGTTTTGAATTCCCCAGCTCACATCAATGCACCATCATTTTTAGCTGTTTTATATATATGGGTCACGTTCCTGTAAGACTTCACTTAGCAAATATTCACTTTTTTTTTTTAATTGCACAGGTCTAAAAGAAAGAAAAAAGATGACATCAAAGGATTTTTTTCTAGCTCTAAAAATTCTATGATCCTAAAATCCCATTTTAAGCAGAAGGGTGGTATAGAATACCATTAAAGATTCAAAAAGTATAGGTCCATTACTGAAAAGGTTTTTAAACAAATGTTTTATTATCTTATGACCCATTGCATACTTCAGGGAGCTCTTTTTTACAGGGTAAAAAGAAGCCAAATTCTTAAACATTTAAAGAGAATTACTGAAATATGTAATATGGTAACTGCCCAGAAAGTAATCTCAATCTCTTCAAAGCACTGCTTAAATTAAAATTAATCAATGCAGACTAATTTCTTAGTTAGCATAACTAAGCATAAATTATTGGCCATTAACTTTATATGGGTCTCAAAACTGCCTGGCATTGTTACTGTGATATCCTTATTGAAACTCTCACTCTCCAGAGCAACTACCTAAACATCCCCTTCTGGTGCTTCTCAAACTGCCAACAATCTGCTCCCTACTCACAGAAGACAGCTTCACTTCCTATTCACAATGAAAACTGAGCCGTCGGAGGGGACCCATACCCCTTCCATGTCCGCACAGACATTCCTGCCCCCACCCCCTCACGATGCACCAAGAGATCTGCTGCAGGTCCTTCCTCCCGGATCTGATCCCTTCATCTGGGCTCTAGATTCTATCCTCTCAAATCCAAAGACTTCTTTCTGAAATCTCTTCTCGGTAATATCTCTAGCCTCCCCCTTTTCCAGGGCTCCTTCTCATCAACATTTGAACATGTCCGAGGCTCTCAATTAAAAAAAAAAAATTCCCACTACCCCACCTCACTCCAGCTCTCTGAATCCTAACCTCCCATTCACACCTCAGCTACTTGCATTCTGGCTTCTGCCCTCAGCAATGACCAAGATACCTCTCAAGCTCTACCTTACTTCTTCTCTCAGCAGTGTCTGAAACTATTCCGTCTCACTTCCGTGGCTTAATTTATAATTTACACCTATTAAAAAATGAGGAGGCGGAGCCAGGATAGCGGCGTGAGTAGAGCAGTGGAAATCTCCCAAAAACACATAGAGCTATGAAAATATAACAAAGAAAAATCTTCCTAAAATAGAGACCACAGGACACAGGACAACATCCAGACCACATCCACACCTGCAAGAACCCAGCGCCTTGCGAAGGGGGTAAGATACAAGCCCCGGCCCGGCGGGACCCGAGCGCCCCTCCCCCCGGCTCCCGGCGGGTGGAAAGAAACCGGAGCGGTTTTTTTTTGGCGAGTGCTTTTTGGAAGCC